GGGAATAGATCTTTAAACATATTTGACTCCTTTTTGACTGTCAGAACAATAGTTTATTGTCCATGGAAGAACAGCATCCATGAGGTTAAGCTTTGTACTGTATGAACCAGGGAAATGGTACAAGTTGGGGTAACCCAAGTTTTACACAACCCTTGTGATCATAATTCAACATTGAATTAACATATTTTGCAAACAAGCCAACAGCGAAGTGGCTGTGTGGTTGGAACATCCTACTCATGTAAATAGTGAGGGTGGACCGCTTCACTCTTTGAAGTAAGTTGTAGATGTTTTTGTGTCAACATATCACATAAAAACAGTCAGTAAGAATTTTTATGGACAAGTAAGAAAATGTACTGAAAGGAATCACCACCCTCTATCCTTTCAAATGTGATAAACCCCGCTCAGTAATAAAATGCTCTCACCCAGAGCTCCAATGAGGAGGAGAAGAGGGGAAGGGGTGCGGCAAAGCAACATACATTGATTCAACATTGATCAGACGTTTATCAGATATCGGCATTTCATTCATTAGATTTGATCCACAAAACAACATTGATTCAATGACACATTTTCAACATTGGTTACTTGGCTAGAATTGGATGGTTGTTTGATGATTGATCCACCATCAGTTGTTGACCTCAACCAAAAATCAAACATTCTGACGATAAGTCAATGTTGAATTGTCATCATGTGCTATCTGGGACTTTTGTTATCCAGTCTTTGGTGGAAAGAGAGAAACAAGAAAATCAATCAATCAAGCACATGAAAATGATCAAGCTTATTTTAAGATGTGATTTATTTATTTCTTATTGCAACAGGCTTACATGTGCTGGTGATTTAGTTACATAAACTTTGGTTTTAACCAACTTAATACTTGAAGATTGTCTTTAGTGTTGTGGTTAAGGACTTAAAATATAAAAATGTTAAAGAATCATAACATTTAAATGTTTGAAATGAGTTCTAATTCTTGCCGTATGATATATTGAATCCCAGTCATCATGACAATGATGTATCTGTCCAGTTGCATAGGTTTGTCCTGGAGTTTACACTGTAAAAAATAAAACGTACATTTTATGGTAAAACACCAGCAGCTGGGGTTGCCGAAATTCCACTGTAAAAAAAACAAACAAATTTTACCCGTAACTGTTTTTTATGGTTGAATTTCGGCAACCCCAGTTGCCGGCATTTTACCGTAAAACAAAAATACAGATTTTACCCGTAATTGTTTTTTTATGGTTGAATTTTGGCAACCACGGCTGCCGGCGTTTTACCGTAAAACAAACAAAAAACAAAACAAACAAAAAAACCCCCGATTTTACCTGTATGTCATAAAGGAGACTAACCCACATGCAGAACAACAGGCGGACAACAGAAATCAGTTAAATAAGTTTATTGTAAACACAAAATAATGATCAACAATCGGGTTCTGGGGAAAGTCTGCAATCTGGATCACTGGAGCACTGGGAGGTAAAAAAAAAGAGAGATGGTGAGTTCAGGGGATGTTGAAAATGGCAGTGTCAGAATAAATGGTCTTACTTGGGTGGAGGTAGGTCTTGTCTGGGGGGAAGAATCACTGTGGTTACCTTGGTTTGGTTCAGGTGGAGGGTTGCTGCTTGACTGATGAAGAGGCTGTGGTGGAGGAGAGGTAAGCTTTGGATCACAGAAGGCGAGGAGCGAGTGAGACTGACAACAGGGTAATCCAAAGAGGTTTGGTCTACTGCAGAGGTGTCAGTGGAACTCTGGCAACCAGTGGGTCCACAGCGTCACAAGGAATAACCTGAGGAAGAAGCACAAAGGGATATCACTTGGAAGTCCACAACAGGAAATCACAGTGAGAAGCATGGAGGGCTGGAGTACCAAATACTGGCTAACACTCTGGATCTGAAGTGTCGGCAGCTCTGTCCTCATATACTCCTCCAGATGATCTGATTAATTGCAGCTGTGCAGGAATCCCGGAATCAACGGCAACGCCCTTGGGAGGGAACAGCCTCTTGGCACCCTCTGGTGGTAAAAGAGGGGGAAATCAGCAAAAAGGAACCATTCCAACAACCTGGGTTCCCAACACCGTAAATTGTTTTTACGGTGGAATTTTGCCAACCCCAGCTGCCGGCGTTTTACCGTAAAATCTACGTTTTTTTACATTTTGGGGTTCCCAGAATTCCACCGTTAAAAAAAAAATTACACACGCCACATGCGCAGCCTGTCGCAGCACCTCGTGCACCTCTGGATGTTTGTAACTCGGCGCATATCGCGTTCACACAAACTGGACGATCTAGAAGATGGTCTTCCAGGCGGCTACAATGTGAACACTTAACTATAAATGCCATACTGCTGTCTTGGCTCAAAAACGCGCTCAACCCGAACTGTCAAAACTGCAACAATAACTCAGCCTTCAGTCCCTGACATCACCTCTGTTCCACAGACGGAGAGAAAAGGGGTTGTGAGCTGGGCAGCTCGGTTGATACAATCAGTGTACCTGTAACTAGTCCGGCTCCTTTGCTGATTTGGTCCGGCTCATCTCCAAGACGAGGAACAAAATATGCGTCCAGTTTTTGGCTTTTCTTTGCTCGCTTTTTTCCATCCTTTTCACTTTGCCGCTTCATGGAACTCAACTCACGTTAACTTCATCGGCTGGTGACAAGCTTTACCCAGAATGCACTTGGAGACAATAAGGACAATCCACTTGTAATTTAATGTGTCATAAAGTTTAATGTAAGAGTGAAAATGAAGCCAGTCACGTATATGAGAGGCCCCATGGGCCAAAACTTACAAACTCTTTTACACGTACTATCAAACTCTCTTACACGTACTATCAAACTC